TATAAAATAATAATTTAACAGAAACATTCAAATATAAAATAATAATTTAACAGAAACATTCATGTATAAAATAATAATTAACAGAAACATTCATCTATAAAATAATAATTGAACAGAAACATTCATCTATAAAATAGTAATTTAACAGAAACATTCATCTATAAAATAATAATTGAACAGAAACATTCATCTATAAAATAATAATTTAACAGAAACATTCATGTATAAAATAATAATTTAACAGAAACATTCATGTATAAAATAATAATTGAACAGAAACATTCATCTATAAAATAATAATTGAACAGAAACATTCATGTATAAAATAATAATTGAACATTATTTATCTGAGGAGCAGCTTTGAGTTTAACTCCATCACTGAACTCTCATCTTGAACAAGCATGAAGGCGACAGTGGGAAGAAAAACTCCCTCATGAGGAAGAAACCTTTAGCAGAACCAGGATCAGGACTAGAGGACCATCTGCTTCGACCGGCTGGGTTTGGTAGGAATAGATACACAATGGCAGGTCAAGAATCGCAAGTTAAGATACAAATAGTTTCAAATGAAAACTATTCAATTTTAACATTAATTTAAGGAGATGAGGTCAGTTTACCATACCATTTTATTTATAAAGCACTTAAAACAGCTACAAGGCCAACCAAAGTGCTGTACAGACAGAACAACAGGTAACACACAAAGCAAAATACAAAATGAGGTAAATCAGAATATAGACATAAAAACGATGCAGATAATGACGACAGACCAGTGTGGAGCATACAGGATCAAACACAGATCATCTGGTGATGAAAGCTACTGAATAGTAGTGAGTTTTTAAACTGGACTTGAAAACCGAGAGGGAGGGGCCTGTCTGACAAGCAGAGGTAACTCATTCCAAAGTCTTGGTCCTGCTACAGAGAAGGCCCTGTCACCTCTGCACTTAAGAGGAGTTCCTGGAACTGTGAGGAGCAACTGGTCCGCTGACCTCAGGGAGCGTGGTGGGACATACGGTTGTAGCAGATCAGAGAGATGGGGGTGGGTGGGGGGGGAGACACTGTTCAGTGATTTGTAGACATACAGGAGTATTTTGAACTGGATTCTAAGGTGAACCAGTGCAGTGAGGCCAAAACTGGTGTAATGTGCTCTCTTTTGCCTGTACTGGTTAAAAATGGGGCTGCTGCATTCTGGACCAGTTGTAGTCGTTTGACTCTTAGTAGTTTGTCCTCTAGTAGTCTAAGTCTATAGCAGCATAACAAGCCAACCCTAACTATAGGATTTATCAAAAAGGAAAGTCTTAATCCCAGTCTTCAAACTGGACAAGGTGTCAGCCTCATGGACAGAAACTGGAAGTTGGTTCCACAAGAGAGGAGCCTGAGAACTGGAAGATCTTCCTCCCATTCTGCTGCTGGAAACTCTAGGAACCACAAGTAAACCTGCAGTCTGAGAGTGAAGTGCTCTGTTAGTAAAATATGGAACAATAAGATCTGTAATATAAGATGGAGCTAGGTTGTTGAGGGCTTTGTAGGTTAGAAGTAAGATTTTGAATTCTATTCTGGATTTGACAGGGAGCCAATGGAGAGAAGCTAAAACTGGAGAGATATGATCTCTCCCAGTAACTCCAGTTAAGACTCTGGCAGCAGCATTTTGGATCAACTGAAGACGTTTTAAAGAAGTATTTGGACACCCAGATAATAAACCATTGCATTAGTCCAGTCTAGACGTGACAAATGCATGGACCAGTTTTTCTGCATCATCTTTAGATCAGATGTTTCTAATGTTAGTGATATTACGCAGGTGGAAGAAGGAGGTTCTAGTAACGTTTTTAATGTGGGGGATAAAAGACACGTCCTGATCAAAAACAACACCAAACCTCAGTTTTTTTGTCTGTGTTCAAAAGCTGAAAATTAAGGGTCATCCAGGTTTTTATGTCTTTAAGACATGCTTGTAGTCCAAGTAGCTGATTGGATTCATTGGGTTTAATGGACAAATATATCTGTGTATCATCTGCATAACAATGGAAATGTATCCCATGCTGTTTAATAACTTTACCTAATGGAAACATATACAATGTCAAAAGGATTGGTCCAAGCACTGAACCCTGAGGAACTCCATGACTAAGTTTGGTGTATGATGAAGATTTATTATTGACATTTACAAAATGGAATCTATCATATAGATATGATTTAAACCAATTTAGAGCCATCCATCCATTATCTTGTTCTGGACTCAGGTCTCTGGGGCATCATCTTGTGCGGGGACATCCAGACATTCCACAACCTCTTCCAGCTCTTCTGGGAGGACTTCAAGGCGTTCCCAGGCCAACTTAGAGACATAGTTTCTCCTGCTTGTCCTGGGTCTTCCCCGGGGTCTACTCCCAGTCGGACATGCCGGACTCATCTCCCTAGGGAGGCGCCCAGGAGGCATCCTTACCAGATGCCTGAACCACCTCAACTGTCTCCTCTCGATGTGCAGGAGCAGTGCTTCTACTGAATCTCTCCAGGATAACTAAATTTCTCACCCTACCTCTAAGGGAGAGTCCAGCTGCAATGTAGAGCCGTTCCTGTAATTCCAACATCACATTCAAACCTCTGTAGTAAAATATTGTGATCAACTGTATCAAATGCAGCACTGAGGTCTAACAGGACCAGTAGAGACACAAGTCCATTGTCTGAGGCCATGAGAATATCATTAGTGACTTTTACTAGTGCTGTTTCTGTGCTATGATGAGCTCTAAACCCTGACTGAAACTCTTCAAACAGATTGTTTCTTTGTAGATGTTCACGCAACTGACCTGCAACTATTTTCTATTTTTGGTATCTTGGTCGACTCACATCTTTCTTTTAAGCTCCATGTGGAAAACTTGGTAAAGAAACTGAAAATTAAACTGGGTTTCTTTTTCAGAAACAGATCCTGTCTAACCCTGAATGCTAGAAAACGCCTTGTATCTGTGACTTTCCTTCCCTCAATTGATTTTGGTGATATTATTTACATGAACGCTCCTACAAGAACCCTGCAGATGTTGGATGCTGTCTATCATGGTGCACTAAGATTCATAACTGGCTGTGATTATCGTACCCACCACTGCACCCTGTATTCATTGGTTAACTGGACATCATTAACTTCACACAGACTCTCTCACTGGTACATTTTCATCTTTAAATCACTTCTTGGTCTGTTGCCTTCATACATCTCCTCCTACATGTCTCTGCGTGAGTGCAGCTACGGAGTGCGCTCTCAGGACATTATTACCTGCAGTGTTCCCTCAGTGAGGACTGAACTAGGCAAAAGGGCCTTCTCCTACTCCGCTCCTGTTTCCTGGAATATCTTACAAAAAGATTTGAAGCTCTCGACCTTTGACCTCTCTAAGTGGCTTTAAGAATCTGTTGGACTCCTGGCAGGGTCCAATGCTGACATGTTCCTGTTTTTAGTTTTATACATTTGTCTTGGAATCTAGCTGTTTTTTTTGGTTTTGTTACCTTTTTCCTTTTAGCCATCCTATTTGTTAAAAAAAAAAAAAAAAAAAAAAAAAAAACTGTAGTATGAGTTTTTATAACTGCTTATTGTTGTTGCTGTTGTCCATTGTTGTCATCTTTCTTTGTTGAAATCAGGTCTCTCTTGTAAATGAGTCCTCGAGGCTCAATGGGATTTACCTGTATAAATAAAGGTTGATTGATTTTCTATAGTTTTTGAGATGAAAGTTAGATTAGATATAGATCTATAGTTGGCCAGAATTTCTGAATCAAGGTCAGACTTCTTAAGTAAAGGGTTAATTACAACAACTTTAAAGCTCTGTGGTACATAACCGTTCATTAGAGACAAATTAAGTAGATCTAAGACATGATTATTGATTAAGGGAAAAAAATAATTAAAGAGTCTGGTTGGGATGGGATCTAGCAGACATGTGGCTGGTTTGGATGAAGCTATTATTTTTGACAATTCAGTGAACTCAACAGGACAAAAACAGTCCAAACATAGATCAGGTTCTAGTGACATTTTTAAAGTTGTCTCATCTGACACAGAACCAGAGGCGATAGTAGGAATGTTGGTTTGAATTTTTTCCCTAATTGAAACAATTTTATTTATAAAGAATCTAATGAAGTCATCACTGCTTATAGTTGTAGGGATACATGAATCAACAAAGATGAGATTTTTAATTAATCTAGCTATGGTGCTGAAAAGGAACCTGGGGTTATTTTATGAATATGAAGGGACAGATGGGACATTTGTGGACAAATGGAACTTTGCATGGGTGTTGGAGGAATTCTCTCTCACTAACGTTGTTTACCCAAAAGAACCAGACTGTCAGCAGGTGAAGATTTTTAACTGGCATTTTCTTTCAAGGACTTCATCCAGGACAGGTTTCATACATAGAAACATTAATTCATATGCAGGAGAACCCTGTCAAAGAGTCGGCATCGAATGGATCAGCAGCAGAGTTCACTGGGCAGTTCCTCCTGGATCCGGCTTCAGTCAGCTGCACAGACATGATCCATGGCCGTCGGTGAGCCGGCCTCCATGCTGATACGAGAGATTGTTTTAATATACAGCAGGTTTTCAGGGCAGGAGGGAAACATGTTTTTCAGTCACAACGTATAAAAACAATAAAATATTCTCTGCAGGCTCTGAGGTCTACACTCATCTCCAGGTCAGAGGTCACTCTTTCAGGGATGAAGATGTGCACATCCTGGACAGAGAGAAACGATGGTTTGAGAGAGGAGTAAAGGAGGCCATCTTTGTGAAAAGAAACCGTCCATCATTAAACAGGGGTGGAGCCTCCAGGTTCAACTGCCCCCCTCTTACAATGCTGTGATTGCTAGTATCACTCAGCCCTCTGTGAACAGTAAACAGCCATCAGGTGCTAATGATCCATTGTTAGGCTGATGGTCCTTCTTGAGCATGTGATCAGCTGGTTCTGGTTGTCAGCAGCAAACTGGTTGATCCACTCTGAGAAGGTGCTATTTAAGAGACTGAGCTGAATACAGCACCTCAGACTGAGGAAGTCCTCAGGATGAGAGACGAAACGTTTCTACAATTTATTATTAATTTATTTTTATTTTTTACTTGTTGCATTCGTCCAGAGGACCTGACTCGACCTTGTTAGAAATAGTTTAGTTTATTTCAGATTTCAGAAGGGGTGGGGGGTTTCATCCTTTAGACATGTTTTAGCGAACGCCTTGCTCAGAGGCTCCACAACACCAGAGATTAAATGAAAGTTTGTGTGTGACGTTTTCACAGGAAAACTCCACGAGTGACATCATCAGCCACCTGACGCCTGGCGCCCAGTACAGAGTGGTGGTCTATCACACTAATGGACCTCTGGTCAGTCCTCCGTCAGAGCCTGTCATCATTGACATCGGTGAGCATCTCGTTACCTTCTCAGGCTTCTCCAACCAAGGTGTGCTGCTGATACAGCTTGTGTGTGTGTGTTAGAGCCCACTGGTGTCCGTGAGCTGGCAGTTTACCCTCTGAGCCCAACAGCAGTCATCCTGAGCTGGCAGCGTCCATACCATGTGGCCTTCAGAAAATACATCCTGCAGACCTTCTTCTTTAACCCCGTCACGCTGGCGTCCGAGTGGACCACCTACTATGAGATCGCTGCCACGGCTTCCGTCATCGCCTCCGTGGTAACACAACGTTTGTGGTGCAGTTGTGTTGTGGTGTTGACAGCGCCGCCTGTCAGTTTGTTTTTCTGTTTTCCCTCAGAGAGTCACCGACCTGCTTCCAGCCTGGTACTACAACTTCAGAGTTTCCATGGTAACATGGGGGGAGCCACCGCTCAGCTGCTGCGATGGCTCCACCATTAGCTTCATCACAGGTAAGGACTCACCTGTGGGTTTCATCAAAGTTCAACATCACCTTATCTGACCCCAGGGGAGCGCACAACATGAAAACATAAAAGAGAAGAAATCCAAATCGGATAAAAACATCAGCTGAGGTTGTGCACGTGACACTCAAGGTGTGGGCTGAGCAGCTGAGGCTCCAACACCTCTTCAACCTGAGCACGTGCTCAGGAGGAAGCTTCTCCTGCAGCTGTGGGCTTCACACAGGTGCTACATAATTTAAAATACTGGGATTAATAATCTATCTAATCTGTTTTATCTAAACTAAAATATCTGAAGCATATAATGAACTTCAGGAGCAGAACCTGATCTCACCTGTCACACTGAAGAGGTGCAACTCTACAAGAATCAGGTGTGAAACTAGAATCAGAGGTGAAACTTGAATCAGGTGTGAAACTAGAATCAGAGGTGAAACTAGAATCAGGTGTGAACCTTGAATCAGGTGTGAAACTTGAATCAGGTGTGAAACTTGAATCAGGTGTGAAACTTGAATCAGAGGTGAAACTTGAATCAGGTGTGAAACTAGAATCAGGTGTGAAACTAGAATCAGAGGTGAAACTTGAATCAGAGGTGAAACTTGAATCAGAAGTGAAACTTGAATCAGAGGTGAAACTTGAATCAGGTGTGAAACTTGAATCAGGTGTGAAACTTGAATCAGAGGTGAAACTTGAATCAGGTGTGAAACTTGAATCAGGTGTGAAACTAGAATCAGGTGTGAAACTAGAATCAGGTGTGAAACTTGAATCAGGTGTGAAACTTGACTCAGGTGTGAAACTAGAATCAGGTGTGAAACTTGAATCAGAGGTGAAACTTGAATCAGGTGTGAAACTTGAATCAGAGGTGAAACTAGAATCAGGTGTGAAACTTGAATCAGAGGTGAAACTTGACTCAGGTGTGAAACTTGACTCAGGTGTGAAACTAGAATCAGGTGTGAAACTTGAATCAGGTGTGAAATCGGTCTTGTTGCTGGTGCCTCCTGCAGCCTCCTCAGTGAGGCGTTCACCTCCTCAGGTGTGTTTTGATGCCACTAACTCCTCCCGTTGCTCCTCCTCCTGCAGCTCCTGAAGCTCCTCACATCTCCTCGGTGGACTATGCTCACGGCGTTGTGTTTGTCCGCTGGACGTACGGCGAGCTCTTCATCGACCTGTCTCACTCCAGGATGCTGCACTGGCAGGTGGTGGCTGTCGGGAAGAAGGGACCAGAGAGGAGCTTCTCGGTGGACGTAAGTTCCTCTGCAACACCTGAGCAGGGTTCTTCTCATGAAGGTCCTACAGAACCGAGTCTTTCTGTTTGTGGACAGGTGACCCGAAACGTGATGCGGGCCAGCCTCCCTCTTCCTCCGGGGGACATCTACAATCTGACGGTGACGGCGTGCACCGAACGCAGCAGAAACACGTCGGTGCCCAACATCATCAAGCTGGGTGAGCAGTCCATCCTGGATCAGTAGAGCTCCTCAGATCCATGAAGATCTGAGCTGGAACCAGTTTTTGTGGATCTGAAACAGATCTGAGTTCAGAATTCATTTTTTCTCCTCTTTCTGTCAATCGGGAGTGAATCTGGTTTGATTCTGCTGTTCACACAGAACTAAATAGTGGATTCAGGTCAGATTCTGAACTATGAGCTTCATTTGGACCAGATTCAATCAGGATGATGAACCGATCACAGAATATCGACTTCAATCTAAAAACGTGTTTCATAAAGAATAAAAAGATGGACAGATGTGAATCCGGATGAAACGTCTACAGATGTTAGTTGAACAACCGTCTGAACTTTAGCTGCACCTTCAAGCAGAAGAAAAGCCTGAGTCCAGAGGAATCAAACCTCGGTGGACTGAGCAGGTTCTGGTTCTGGTTCAGCTCTTCCTCTGAGCTCACTCTGAGTCTTGTGCTGACAGACCGACTTCCCTTCTCGTTCTTCGCGTCTCGAAGCTCTTGTGGTTCTGGCTCTGACCCGCTTCACTCAACGCTTGTGTCTGGGGTTCTGCCTGCAGATCCGGCTCCGCCCAAGTCTCTGTTCGCCGTCAATGCCACGCACTCGTCGGTGACTCTGCTGTGGACCGAGGACGGGGTGGTGGACTACTACCGGGTCCTCTGCCGACCCAACAAGGACGGGCGGGAGCTCAAGGTAACAACATCCAACAGCTCAACAGGTGCTCACAAAAACCCGAGTCCCACTGTCCATCGTCCACGTGCTGGTCCAAACAAACGAGAGACATGGGTTCAGGCCAGGGTTAGGGCCTTCTGAAGGCCGGCAGAAGGTCCAGCTGGTTCCTTTCAGCCTTGTTGTCCTCACTTTTAGACAAATGAAACGACAGTCATCAAACCAGCATCTCTGTGGTGGGTGTCACCATGGCAACCAGTCAATGACTCAGCAGCTTCTGGGTCTTCTATATTACCCAGCATGCTGTTCTTCCTCAGCTGTTCCCATCATGGCCGCCCCCTAGATGCTGTAGAGCACGGGTGTCCAAAGTGCGGTCCGAGGGCCATTTGTGGCCAGGGCTTCATCTGAGCCGGATCCTGCTGGAACTGGATCTGGGAACTCCTATTTTGACAGGGTGTGTTCCGATAACTGTTTGCTTGGATCTGGTAACTCTCAGACTTATGAATAATAAAGTTATGAACAAATGTGACTGACTTGAACAAATAAAACTTGTACTGGAGATGTAAACTAAAAATAATATCATAAACACTCATTTTAAACACAACAGCCACTGACAGAGTCAGAGTTTCTTTATTTGTCATTCCATCACGTGATGGAGCGAAATTATGTTCACAGCTCCCAGTTACACCCAACAATAAAATGTACAAGAAAAACTGATGAGATCTAAAGAATTCATTCATGAATATTGGTTGATAAAATGATCAAGCAGGAAACTGGACACTTTAAATTAATATATCATCTGCGTATGAGTTGATGAACTTATCAAACCTTCTATGAATCTCTTGTAGCGACTGACTAAGATTATAAGCTTAGTGTTTGAGGCTTTTGATGTTTGGGATCTACAACAATTTAAAACTCTTTCTCCACCAAATTAATAAATGTTTGTAAATATTCTTCACGTTGAGTTCAGTTCCATGTTTGTGGCTCACGAGTCCTTCATGTGGAGAGTTCTGGTCCACACAGGACAGCGTTTGGACACCCCTGTGTGGTCTCCAGACCGGATGTTTGGGTTGAACGGACTCATTAAACTGAATGAGTTTCAGGTTCCGGACAGTTTTCTCTATTTTTATTTTTGAATCTGTTTTGTTGTTGAAGTCAACAACCATCAAACTCAGACTTCATTAAGTTTCTGCTTAATAAAGTAAAACAACTTGAGGTTTGTTTGACCTCTGGTTCTGTTGGTGTGTCCTCCTTCAGGCCCGTGAGCCGCTCACCTCCACGTCCCACGTTCTGACCGTGTCCGGTTTGGCTCCGTCCACCAGCTACAACTGCAGCGTGACCAGCTTCAGCTACAGCACGCCGAGCCGCGCTGCACATGTCACCGTCACAACCGCTGGTAGGTGGACCTCAGGAGACGGCCGAGGATAGAAACGCAGATTTGTCAGGGACATCCACTTCCTGGTAACACTTCCCGTCAGGGAAATACACTTCCTGGTAACACTTCCTGTCAGGGACATCCACTTCCTGGTAACACTTCCTGTCAGGGACATCCACTTCCTGGTAACACTTCCTGTCAGGGACATCCACTTCCTGGTAACACTTCCTGTCAGGATGCTCAGAAATGAGGTCACTGTGAAAATATTTGATTCAGTTCATTTCCTCAGAGGAAAAACTACATCCAGTCAGGATACCATCCATCCATCCATCATTCATCCATCCATCATCCATTCATCCATCATTCATCCATCCATCATCCATTCATCTATCATTCATCCATCCATCATCCATTCATCTATTATTCATCCATCCATCATTCATTCATCTATTATTCATCCATCCATCATCCATTAATCCATCATTCATCCATCATTCATCAACCATCCATAATTCATCTGTCCATCATCCATCATTCATCCATCCATCATCCATTCATCCATTATTCATCCAGCCATCATCATCATCATTCATCCATCCATTATCCATCCATCATTCATCCATCCATCATCCATTCATCCATTATTCATCCAGCCATCATCATCATCATTCATCCATCCATCCATTATCCATCCATCATTCCTCCATCCATCACCATCCATCCATCGTCCATCTATCCGTCATTCATCCATCCATCATTCATCCATTGTCACCCATCCATCATCATGCATCCATCCATCATCCATTCATCCATCATTCCTCCATCCATCACCATCCATCCATCCATCATCCGTCTATCCGTCATTCATCCATCCATCATCCATCCATCATCATCCATTCATCCATCCATCATTCATCCATCCATCCATCATCCATTCATCCATCCATCATCCATTCATCTATCATTTTTTTTTCATTCAACCTTTATTTATACAGGCTAGCCTCATTGAGCCACGAGGACTCATTTACAAGAGGGACCTGTAAAAAGATTCATCTATCATTCATCCATCCATCCATCATCCATTCATCTATCATTCATCCATCCATCCATCATCCATTCATCTATCATTCATCCATCCATCATCCATTCATCTATTATTCATCCATCAATCATCCATTCATCTATCATTCATCCATCCATCATCCATTAATCCATCATTCATCCATCATTCATCATCCATCCATAATTCATCTGTCCATCCATCCATCCATCATCCATTCATCCATTATTCATCCAGCCATCATCATCATTCATCCATCCATTATCCATCCATCATTTCTCCATCCATCACCATCCATCCATCCATCCATCGTCCATCTATCCGTCATTCATCCATCCATCCATCCATCTGTCATTCATCCATCCATCATTCATTCATCCATCCATCATCCATTCATCATCCATTCATCATCATTCCTCCATCCATCATCCATCTATCCGTCATTCATCCATCCATCATCCATCCATCATCATCCATTCATTCATCCATCCTTTATCAGCTTCTTCATCTTTGGGTCATGGGGGTCACAGGTGCCTGGTCCAGCAGTCACTGTACAAGGTGGGAGACACCCTGGACAGGTGTCAGTCCGTCACAGGGCCTGGTTAAGTCCAGGTAACCTGGGTTTAAGTTCAGCTGTCATGGGTTCACCTCAGCAGCACGATGGTGCAGTTGGTAGAGCTGTTGCCTCTCAGCACTAAGGTTGCTGGTTGAAATCCCAGCCCGGGACCTTTCTGGGTGGAGTTTGCATGTTCTGTCCGTGCTGCGTGGGTTTCCTCCAGGTACTCTAGACTTACGACCTGTCCAGGTGTCCCCCGCCTCTTGCACCATGACTGCTGGACATGGGCACCAGTGACCCCCACGACCCAAAACGGAAGAAGCAAGTAAAGATAAAGGATAGATGGATGGATTGATGATGGATGGATGAATAATGGATGGATGATTGATGGATGGATGAT